CCCTGAGCTCTTTTTCATTTGTTTGTTTGTTTTGTTTCCAGCTCACGCGTATTGCTGTTGTTGTTGTTGTTGTTTTGCGGTGCCTTGATTGCGCGTGCGAACTCAACTCCCCGGGCACTGCCACGGAATACACTGTTCTCGATGAAAATTACGCGCTCGAGCGCATATTTTTCGTAGCTGCCGTTCTCACCCAATTTTTGAATGGGTGAGAACGGCAGGGAGGTCCTTCAGCTCTCCAGCCCCTTCTCTATACCCTGTTTCACCTCGAGTCCAGAGGTAGCCAACGCTGCGTGGCGATCGGACCAATCAGACAGCTGCAAAAACGCACAATCATGGTGTTCCTCGTGTTTATGCACGTGTTCAATCCTCGCTGGACAAATCATCTAGAAAGAAGGCCTATAGTAACTTGACATTTTGACGCTGTTTGATCGGTTCCGTTAGCTGGTAGCGTTCGGCTGCGTCTGGACTTCAGCTGAAACGAGGCCTAGCGCGAGCTACCTGCAAATTCTTTAAAAAAACCTCTGCTTTTATTTTATTATGTGAGCTTTTAGCCTGCAGTAAGGTGGCGAACTGGGCCAGTTGGTTGACGTTATACATGATGGGAAGAAATGCTCATAAAGCACGGACTACGAAGAACACACGCCATAGAACAATGTTCCTGCGTGCAGGTGCGGCCAAAACGCGACCTATGGTAACGAGTGCGCGTCGCGGCCAGGCATCTGAGACTCCCTAACGTTTTCGCCCCGCTAGTAACTACACAGACGACGTTTTCATGTTCAAAAACACGAGCCGTCTCATGCCTTTCAAGAGACTTCCGGTCTCTCCGTTTCGGCCGGCCTTCCGGGGCCCGTTGTCGTCAGATTTTTGGGAACGATGGAGGTTCTTCAGAAATTACGAAGTTGGGAATTCAGCGAGGTTCTTCTGTCTGTGCTATTCAGCATATAAGAGGAGAGCGGTTATCTTACGAAAGTATAAAAAAATAAATCTCTAAGTTTTTTTTTGGAACGCTGCAAATTCATTATACAAAATACAGGTTAGACAATTTTTGAGGCAAGTTTATTCGTCATATGAGGGTCCCGCCATATTGGTAGTAAAGGAACTGTATGCAGACATATGCTTGACACAGACATGCTTTGAAAATGCTTGAGGCGTGCCCAACGATCATTTTCTCGTCATGTCGGCAGCAAACGCCGTGTCAGTTTTTATCATGTAAAAGTTATGTGGCTAGAGCTGGACAAGTCTCTCGCTAACCAGTCTTTTATCTAACCACCCGGAGAACCGGTCATAAAATACTCTATGAACGTTGTCAAGAAGCGGTGCTATACGGAGCGCAAGTTCGTCTGCTTGTTCTTGTAGGGATTGTGGTGACGTCAGAACCCCGAGCTCTGATTGGCCCTGTTCGAAGGATTGTGGGTGGACCTCAATGCCAACTGCCTTCAGGTCTACCCACTATTCTTCAATCAGAGCTAGGCATTGTGACGTCACCGCGACCCTTGCAAAAGAGGCAGACCAACTTGTCCTCCGCATAGTGGTGATTGTTTGTCTGCTCATTTTACTGAAGTTCGTGGGAATGCGAAATGTGGGAACATCCCCTCTCAGGGCGTTCATGAAAAAGGTCTATAGAGTTGCATTGCCGGTCCTTTTCCCTTTCTCTCTCTTTCTTTCTGCGACTATAACGCCCGACCAAGTCACGTACTCGCGGCAGCGGCTCTGACAGCGTCGGTAAAGGGCTTAAAACGCTGCCAGCAAGATTTACGTGCGTTAGGTTTCAGCTTTCAGAGTTTTCGTCACTACTAAATCAACCTCTAAAAGTTTTAGGCATTCCTCAGGGACGAACGCTAAGCTTTGCAAGGAAGATTGTCGCGAATACGCACCAATTTATTTTATTATTTATTTTATTTTATTTTTTTTTTCTGAGGGAGCGTCTGACCGCTTTTACCTAGCGGCAGTGGCGTTTCGGTCAGGATGTCCGCCATTAACGAGGACTTACGACGACAGACGGTCCCTCCATGTTTAATCAGGGTGGGCGGTCGCTCATTTATACCACTTCCGCCGTTCTTTGGTGCCTCCTTCCGAGGTTGGAGCGAAGAGCCGCGAGCCGTTAAATATTTAGCGACCGATGTCGACGAGCGCGGTCGACATTCCAGTGGCCACGGGCACCGCTATCTAAATTACTTTCTTTTATTTCCTCGGTATACGAGAAGCCTTAGAGCTGCCAAGTAGTCTACGGTTTGTCTCGAAATGTGCCAAACACACAAAAGCAAACATCGCTGAAATAGAAACCCAAATAATAAACTAAAAAAAGTTTTTTTTTTTTTACGAAGTTTTTCAATTTACATTTTTGGTCTTTACCGTGTATTTCAACGTGAAAGTAACTACTGGCAACAATGTAAAAGTGACGTCAGTGGAAGGCAAGGGTTCACTCTTTGAACTGTAAATTTTGTTTCCAACTGATTAAGAGCAGTTTCGTGGTGTTAAATAAATTGCTCTTGGAAGCTCGCCCCAGCTATCGCGAAGCGGCACGAAACAAGTGCTCGGCATAGTTCATTTCTAGTGTGCCCACTCAACCTGCAAGCCTGCCTTCCACTGATGTTGCGGCACTGAAAAGCGCGAGCTTATATGAATGGTGGCGGTGGTATCATTTTTTATTGCCGAGTTTACAGTAACTGTTATAAATATCAGGATACTAAATAGCATACCGGAAAAGATAAAGACCGGTGATTCCAAAAATATAGTTAGTTGGGGCTTGCTCGAGAAGCACCGCCGGAGTAATCTTTTAACCTGAAATGATGTATAAAAGGGAAACATAGGGAATGTAATAAACTTAGGGAGCGGTTATGTGACTGCTTCGCTATTGAATTAGCGCACTCAAAAATCCACCGTGAACGTTTGTGTGTGTGTGTGTTTGTGTCTGTGTTTTTTTGTGTGTGTGTTTTTGTGTGTGTGTTTTTGTGTGTGTGTTTTTGTGTGTGTTTGTGTGTTTGTGTGTGTGTGTGTGCGTCCGCGCGTGCGCGTGCGTTTAATATGACACGTTTTTTGGTTATTTTTTTTTTCGGATTTTGTGAAGCCGTGGCTTGCGACGTCCCAAGATGCAATGCGCTCAGTGTTGCATTATGGGACGCCACAGACCTACACACCAATTCAGTTTCCGCACTAAATATAGCGGGTAAATTGACGTCACTTGAGCTGTTACCTCACGTGACGCTAGAATATTTCACGTATGCAACCCTCGCCTGCAGCAATTTGCCTTACATTTTTTTTTCTTTTTTACCTCCAAGCTTAGTTGTTGTTTTTTTTATTTTTTGTCATGGTGACAATTTCACTTGTAAGTACTTACCACTATACTCAGTTTCGCTTAAATTCTGACCGCATTCGACGCTACAATCTAACTGCGCCTATCAAGCTGCGCCAAAACTGCATCCCCATGGCGCTATTCGTCTTAGTAGGTTTGGCTATTTTCGGTTAAACAAACGCGCATAAAAAAAAAAAAAACCCTGCAGGGTCGTGTTGCATTCACTATACCGTATACGTGATCGGGTTCGTGCGTGGCAGCAACCGCGAAGAAAAACGATCGCCGTGGCGATGGTCTTTTGGCTCTGCTTGATTTGCTCCACCGGGTTGTGGAGCCGGATTAAGGTCGGACTTAATGTGAAACGGAGTATAGTTAAGACACTGAACTGACGACTACAATGTAATGAGCGTTCTCCAAAAAACTCGGGTACCGCTTCGAAACTCCTGCAGTTATAGTCGTGGTATGCAGATGAAGGTCGCCTGAACGCCACTTTACACCCGTTTCCTTTCAAACACACACAACACACGAAAGTAAGGGGGAAAAAAAAGAAATAAAGCCTAAAACACGAACCTAGCGCAGGAGTTTATCACTCGTGCTAAACGGCCACACACAAAATCTTCGCAAAGGGAACTGTTTATTAACCACATAAGCAAAACAAAATACACACTCATCCTACAAGAAAGCCGAAAGAAAACCTGCCTTACAAAAAAAAAATAAAAAAAAGAGGCCCATGATTAACGGAAAGGCGATAATTTAGCGCTCTTTATTCAAGCGGGAGCTCCCGGCTTCCGCTAAACAAATACTCAGATAGAAAAAAGTGCAAGAACGAAAGCGGAATAGCTGCGTAAAGTAGAACCCATTCATCCGTTCAAATGCAAACAGAAATAAACGCATGACCGAAATGAGACAGACGCAGGTAAAATGAATCAAACGAAGAAAACAACGAAAATTTCGGATATCATTTTTTTTGTACGGGAAAATAAAAGAAACAGAATAAATCTGCGGTTATTAAGGAATCATCTTGAAGGGTGCCTTCCGCGTACTAGACCGAAATTCTGGACGTAATATGGGAGACCGTGATAGTCACTATCTGAGAGAAGACTCACCCTTTGGCGTAGTTAATACCAATCGTCGGTTTTCTTTTTTTTATTTTTTTTATTTATGTCAAGAAGTGAGTGACCAGCCGTGAAATAGATATCTCAGGATGGGGGATTGACAGTTTCCAGACGCGTTCATTTTATTTTTTGCCGGGTGTGACAGAAAAAAAAAAAAATTAGAATAATTGGAGTGCAGGCGATAAATGTGGCGAAGAGCTATCCCATACGAATTTCTCTGGTGCTCAATACATTTTACGAACCTGTTGGAACGTCGAAATCGGCCTTAGTCACACGAAGAAAGTAGTAAAATCCCCCAATAATATACAGCCAAGCGTTCAACCGAAGAGGCTCGATAAAGAAAATGTAAAGTTTCTGTTTATTCCCGAGAACGGATTTTATATAAATAGGTGTAAAAGGCAACGAAAACGCGTTTAAATGTTTAGCAGCTGTACTTCACCGTTTGAACAACACTCCGCGCTCAGTCACTAAAGCCAACGGTAGGCGATATCATTCAATGAAGACCTCTCATGAAAATGACACCAGAAAACAGGGAAGGAAAACAAAATAAAGAGTCGCAGCTTATTCCTAAAGGAATAAGTTGCGAGATCGGCCTAGGCTCGTGGCTGGGCGATGCCAATTACGCCACAAGCGATGATTGGACCCGATCTTCCCGTTTCGCGGCTTTCGATGGTGCCTCCTAAGCCGAGGTCGTCCTCTTGCTTGTGGATCTGCCGTGAAAGAAAGAGATATTACATGACGGCACTTACCAGCCCCGAAATATGTGGAAACATTTCTTTTGAAATCGATAAGACAAGTTTGAGTAGCTAAAATCACTCGGCACGTTATGAACTGGTTTTTGTATGAGGTAGTTTCTACCCGGGACCTCGCTTTTGGAACCTATACGGGAATAACGCACACAAAAGAAAAAAAGAAACAAGCTGATACAAACGGCTATGCTTGAACCCTAAGCGAAAAAATCCGCTTTGAAGTTGAGATAATCGCAACTCTTTAAAGCAATTTTCAAGTTTCGTTTTTGTACCTTATTCTTAAAGTCGCGAGTCTCTTATACTGTTTTAAATATACCAGTGACTCTCAAGCTATATTTCATCCTGTTAAAACATCAGTTTATCTAAAAAAGAAAAGACTGTAAAAACCTTGTTTTTAAACACGTTCTTTCTTGAAGCCTGTTCATGACGCTCAGTAGTGTGTAGAAAAAATGTAACCAACCAAAGTTTATTGTACGTATGTCGATGGTTGAGCGTGTTGGTTATTAATTTACGATAAGGAAAGAGGAACATTTAAGACAAACAGACAAGGCTTTCGACTTGCCGTGCCGTTTTTATTTATGATTCTCCGCGTGTGACGTTTGAAGTTTATCTGCCTGGCAGTAAGATACATTATGCACGCTTGCGAGCAGCCACGCTTTAAAAGCTAGTCTGACCGCCGTCTGCAGATAAATTGTTATTTGGTCTTTAGTCCGGCAACATTAGTCACGCCTTAGCAATACTAGATTCCTAGGTGTCGCAAGCTACCGCCAGTTATAAAGGGTACAGCCATTATCATCTATCCATCGATCACACGATCCACTCACAGGCAACAACATGGCGGCGCCTAGATGTCGCACTTAAACACCTAGGACGAACACCGCATATGCGTCCACAACCCGGTGACTCGATACATTTTGCTCGGGTGATAACCGCTAGAAGGGTGTTTACTCCAGCGTGCTGTTCCGACTTCACGCCACTGTGGGGACGGTGCTGCTGTGCGCATGCGCGGACGATTTACTCGAAGCAAGTCCCATCTCTACCCATCCGCACTGCCAACAGCCAATGTGAACAAACGCGGACTTGGCTGTCAGCAGCTTTTTGGCCACTATGAAAGCGCGATAAATTAGAGCAAGAAATGCGTTACAATGGCGGAGCGTCCCACGATGGAGTTTGGTCCGTTGAGGGAGAGCAGCCTGTCGAATATGACGAACTGGGCGTCCCCCCTGGCGTCCGCTTCCACGTTGCCCAAGTCGCCCACGTGCCGGACCACGTCCTGTCGGGCGCCGTGCCACATGCCTCGACCCACGTCGAAGTGGTGGCCGGTACTTTCACAGCCTGGAAGGAAAACGACAGGTGAGGTAAGGCAACGCCGAGCTATCGACCCGCCCAGCCGCGTGCTCAACATGTCGGTGCGCGTCGTGCACTAAAGACCGCGGGTTAGGTATTGCTATCTAGTGACCAAATTGCCCTTCTACGACGAAGACAGCAGACGCACTTTCTGCTGCCTTGCCGTTCACGTGGCAAATCAACGTAAAACAAGCGATCGACAAAATATTACTTCGAAATTTAGTTATTATAACAAAATCAAAGTTCGTTTATAACGAATTTTCGCTATAACGAAACAAATAGCTCTGCTGATCGTAAAATAAACTTAGCTACAGAAAAACATAATTTTTTCTCGTAGTTTTTGCATTTACGACGAAATGCAGTTTTGTTATCAAAACAGAATTCATTAGAAAAGAAATTTTATGCTACTTCACACAGCGTTGTTATTCTTTTGTGCACGATTTTATTTATTGGCTGATACAGCGCCATTAAAGCCCCCTTCTAGGTGGGAAGGGCGATTCAGGTGTCCACCGAAACTGAAGCTTAGTATTCACTCAATTGCTGCAAAAGAACAAAAAAAAAACAATAATATTACGAGGTTTTTTGTTCTATATTGGGGAAAACATTTATATTGTCTCAAAATGCGAGTAATAAAGAACCTGTGATAAGTAGGGTAGGTCTGACAACTAGATTTCCAACAAGGTGTTTCGCGTCTGACGCAAGCAAAAGCTGCCGGCATATCTTTTTTTCTAATTAACAAGCGGCAGAGTGACACAATCTTCAATTGTGCCTGCCAACTACCGAATTCCCCCGACTGCTAATTCGAGACGAGCATGGAGACACATCTCGTACAGGCAAGAAAAAGAGCGACCAACGGGACGCGAGCGCCACTTAATCCCAGAGCCCGAACGGTCCGAAGCATGGTCAACACAGGAACGGTCTCGAGGAAACACGGGACAACGGATCAATGCGTGTATCGGACCAGCAAAAAGAACCTCACATTAAGGACGCTGAGCTCACACTGAACCTGGGTGCTCAGTGTGAGCTCAGCGTCCTTAATGTGATGTTCTTTTTGCTGATGGCGTCGTTGGATACACAGTGCCCGTCGTGAGGGCCCCATCTCTGCGTTTCGTCGTATGCGATGGATACCAACGGACGCTACGAGTCGTTGGAGCCAATCCAACACCGTGCGAGTGTCACCTGACCTTGGAGAGGGGGCACCGCGACGTACGGGGCACGCCGTCACGCGGTACGTTTGCTGGCGTTGGATTGGCTGGGATAGCGCGTTAGGGTCCTATGCGATCCATCCTAAGATCAAACGAAGATGTAAAAAAAGGAGCGCGAAGAGATGGTTGTTGATCATGGATACGTCTTAATAGAGCTCGTGGAAAAAAGACTGAACGCGTAGGACGACGACGAGTCCTGAGACTAGCCTATAGTCAGTTGCAACTCAGGAGGGTAGGGCGAGAGAAAGGAAGGCCGGGGACGAGGAAGCAGACGGAACGCTGGAGAGAGGAGGTTTCCCCTTCTCTTCTCCCGTGTTCCGTCTGCTTCCATCTCCCCGGCCTTCCTTTCCCTTGCCCTACCTTCTCGAGTTGCAACTGACTATAGCAAACGCTAATCGAGAACAGTAATCTATTACAGTAACTCTCGGCTGAAAGAACTTAATTAGATTACCCTACTGCTGAATAAGAAAACTAATTGGCCGTTGCATGAAAAGGTAACCGTTACTCTTCCAATTACTTCAGATTTTCAACACAATAAATTTTTCTGCCGGCTTGAGAACGGTGGGATTTTTGCACTGTTCATTATTGGAATAGAATCATCTTAAGTATCAACTAATTATATTCTTAATTCATTAGTTCCGGTAAGCCTGTCAAAGACTTGGATCTAGGATTCCTTTGGTTGAAAATTTCTACAAAGCGCGCCATTATAAAGGGGGGGGGGGCAATAGTGACTTTTACAAGAAATTTAGTACTTCCAAAAGTGGTCCGATTACTCTTATGATTACTTCATAGTAAATGTAATCAAACTGAAATGAAATGACTAAAAAAGGAATCGATTACAAGTGATATAATTACTTGCAATGAGTAGCCTACAAGTCTGACTGAGACATGGTGGCATGGCACGAGGAGTCGGTCGATGGAACAGTGTTGGCGAGCCGAGTGAGCATAATGGAGCTGAGACGAGCGAGAGCGTTTTGCGATAAGGATCGAGTCGATTCGGAAGGATCTTATGAGAGCGATAGAGTCGACGATTGGGTGTCGTCGATTTCATAGGAGAGCGTCCTTTTGCCAAAATATGACTCGATACAAAGAGGATTCGACGCGGTGAAAGAATTGGTTCAAGGTATTCTACAAAAGAAGTTGAAGAAACTTCCTCGAGTGATGAAATTTTGCTATAGAAAATGAACCAGATTCTGCCATACATTCTGCCCCTCCCCCCCCCCCCCCCCCCCCAAAAAAAAAAAAATCAACCACAGAGGTTAAATCAAAGATTGTGCCAAAGATTGAATCGGAGATTCTGTCAAAGACCTTCGCCCAAAGAGATTTTTTCAAAGTTTCGATCAAAAATATTGGACCAAAAATATCGGACCAAAAAGATTGGCACAAAAACAATGCACCAAAGATTGCGCCAAGGATATTACCAAATAGGTTTGAACAAGCAAGGTTGATAAAATAAGCTTTATCAAACAAGTATTTTCCAAACAGATTTTATCACATAAAGTTTATCAAACAAGTTCAAACAAAATGGTTAGAAGAAACATACCCCGTTGAGAGAGTGGACCAGAGGGGCTCGACGAAACTAATTGACGCAGGCTGGCAACTTGTTGGTTGGTTAGAAACCACTATAAAACGGCTCATGGTAGAAAACACGATATTGAGGTATTTAGCGCACAAGGTAGGAAGAAGAAGGACAAGACAGAAAAGAGCGCTACTCACAACTACGTTTACTAATAAAAAGGGAAGAGAAAGAAAACACCTAAATAATCCGCCGCGGACTCATGCACCTGCCACAGCCCCGTGAATGATAGCGGCTAGTTCATCCAGGTTCGTGCGGGCCCTTCATTGTTTGTTCAATGAATTTCCTTTCCTTGTTTGTTAGCGTAACGGATTCAACGCTAATACAGTTCCTGTCCTCGCGAAGGATGTAGAAGGCCTCCAATACCTCGCGGGTCAATTTGTCTTTGTTCTTCCCCAGGATGTTGGTCTCACGGAATAATGGTCTGCATGTGCATTCCCTGCAATGGAGAGGAAGATTTCCGCCCACTGTAGCCTTCAAGGAGTAATCATGCTCCCTGAGGCGGTCATTGAGGCATCTGCCCGTTTGGCCTATGTAGCTCTTGCCACACGAAAGAGGTATCTTATACACGACGCCCGAAGCGCATGGTAGGAATTCGTTTGCATGCTTCTTGGTGCACGTGGGTTTTGTGGTACCCTCAGCATGCGCATTGACTCTATTGCAAATTTGGCTCATTTTTTGTGGTGCTGAAAAAACTACTCTGACCCCATAGCGGCTTGCGACGTTCTTTAAATTATGGGACATCCTGTGAAGGTACGGTATTACAACTGGCCTTGTTTGCTTGACACTGGTCTTGTTGGACTGGAAGCCTTTTGCCTTCTTGACCAGAGCGTTGGCCACATCCGCGAGTAGGGCTGACGAATAGCCGGCTTTTGTTAGCCTCTCTACTTGCGTGGTGAAACTGGCTGACATAGTATGACGACAAGACTTCCTTAGTGCCGAGCCCAGACACGTTAGAGCTATGCCCCTCTTGATGATTTTTGAGTGCGCCGAGCCGTAGTCTAGAATGGCTTTCTTGGAACGTGGGCTGTACGACTCTAACGTAGCTCTAACGTGTCTGGGCTCGGCACTAAGGAAGTCTTGTCGTCATACTATGTCAGCCAGCTTCACCACGCAAGTAGAGGGGCTAACAAAAGCCGGCTATTCGTCAGCCCTACTGGCGGATGTGGCCAACGCTCTGGTCAAGAAGGCAAAAGGCTTCCAGTCCAACAAGACCAGTGTCAAGCAAACAAGGCCAGTTGTAATACCGTACCTTCACAGGATGTCCCATAATTTAAAGAACGTCGCAAGCCGCTATGGGGTCAGAGTTTTTTCAGCACCACAAAAAATGAGCCAAATTTGCAATAGAGTCAATGCGCATGCTGAGGGTACCACAAAACCCACGTGCACCAAGAAGCATGCAAACGAATTCCTACCATGCGCTTAGGGCGTCGTGTATAAGATACCTCTTTCGTGTGGCAAGAGCTACATAGGCCAAACGGGCAGATGCCTCAATGACCGCCTCAGGGAGCATGATTACTCCTTGAAGGCTACAGTGGGCGGAAATCTTCCTCTCCATTGCAGGGAATGCACATGCAGACCATTATTCCGTGAGACCAACATCCTGGGGAAGAACAAAGACAAATTGACCCGCGAGGTATTGGAGGCCTTCTACATCCTTCGCGAGGACAGGAACTGTATTAGCGTTGAATCCGTTACGCTAACAAACAAGGAAAGGAAATTCATTGAACAAACAATGAAGGGCCCGCACGAGCCTGGATGAACTAGCCGCTATCATTCACGGGGCTGTGGCAGGTGCATGAGTCCGCGGCGGATTATTTAGGTGTTTTCTTTCTCTTCCCTTTTTATTAGTAAACGTAGTTGTGAGTAGCGCTCTTTTCTGTCTTGTCCTTCTTCCTACCTTGTGCGCTAAATACCTCAATATGTTAGACTACCAACTAGCCCAAATGTCAACTTTACTGTAGAAAACATGAGTTAGTATCCCGTTAAAACGAGAAATACGGGACAACGCATGCATCGAGTTGGATGAAAGTTTAGCAAATCCAGTGGGCGACCATGGGCCGTGGCTAAATAAAGGCAGGCAAAACGACGAGTTCACATCGAAGCCGCGGCCAGACTACTAATACATGCTTCTTCATCGCACGACAGCCCTGTCTCATTGGTAATGCAATATCTGTCTGGAGACCGTGTTCGAACGACGCAGACATAAACCATATTAAGCAAACATGCTCCGAACACACTTGAGTCATGTCCGCGGATCATTCTGTCATGTGTGCAGGGTGACTAAAACGAAACAACAACAGTACAGTCGCTTTGAGCCTCCTTTTTATCCGCTGCCAGGTGGTGCACGCGGACGAGGATCAATCAAAGCAAACACATCGCCGGATAGCAATAACGAACAGCCGCGTCGTCGACAAAACTGGGACAGCCCTTTCTGACAGGATAAGACGCGTGTTTGAGTAAACAGTGCCACCATCCCTTCCCCCACGATGAGACAACGTGTCCCGCGCATAATCCGAGACGCCTGCCGAATCGACGTCCCCTTACCAGAGTTGTTCGGGTGATCGATATCGCGCGGAACCCGCTCGATCATGGGGACTATCGGGCACTCACCGAACAAAATCGACCACGGCTGCCGTCTCGAGTCCTGCCCCCCTCCCCCTTTTTCTGGATCAATAATTTGGCGGATGGAGGACGGTAAGGGAGGGGGTGGGCAGTTCTTGAAGTTGGTGGAGCCCCATTTACACGATGGTATATTTTTTTTGTGTGTGTGTGCGTTTCAAGATTTGCATGTGTCGGCCAGTCTTCACCTGGAACTAAAACACTCAAAGCTCGCCAAAACTCTCTTTAGGAGACTGATGTGCCTAAAAGCCTCTTTAGACGACTGATGCGCCTAAAAGCCTTTTTAGGCGACTGATGTGCCATGTCACTTTAGGAGTTCACTGCGGCAGTTCTTAGAGCTTTTTTTTTTTTTTTTAGGTCCGACGGACCGTCGGTAGAAAATACCAAAGGCAGCGTGAACCACCGAAAGAGATACCGGAAAAGTGTAGTGGTGCTGTAGGCATTTGACATCTTTTACCGTGACGCGTTAAGGCCACATTCACACTGTCGTTTTAATTGCAGCCACAAATCAGGTTCGATCGTTTTCATCATCAAATGCGCCTAAATGTTTATTGGATCTTTTTAAGCAACCGTGTTCGAAGCCACTTGGCGAACGCAATTAAATTACCCGTTTGAATGCGGCGTAATGCCACCGAGGACTCAAGGCCCCATTGACTTCTCTCCTCATATTCTAGGTACACGGGCACACTTAACTGCAGTTATGCGTAACAACCGTTATTACACTATATCCTTGGAACAACTTTTCGGGGCTATGCTGTCAAAGACACGGGCGCTTGCCTAACTTGAGCGCTCATCCAAGCTGCGCGCGCGCGCACTCTTAATTTCGTCTAAAATTTCTGTCTGAAAGCATAGTGTGGTAAATGTGGTCGAGCGCAACCGCAGTTAAAGGCGACTTATGCTCTGGGTGCCCGCGTGACTAAGGTATTAGAGTCATGAGTATGCTCGGTTAGGCCTTTGGATGACAGCAGCGAAGGCTAGACGTACGAGGTCGAGGTTTCTGAAGCGGACTTTGGTCGAACGAGCGCATGCGTTAGAAAGCCACGCTTCCAAGCTTCCTAGATTACAAGACCGTAGCAAGTACTGAATCTTTCACGTCACCTAGAGTTTAGAGTGGGGCTCTGATTGGGACCCAAGTGATGACGAAAGCATTCGGCTCGGGCTCGTGTCCAATCAGTGAGTGCACGAGTGCCAGCCGAACGCCGACTCCGCACTCGCGTCCAATAGCTGTTCCGTTAGGTGACGAAGAAACTTCGGCAAGATGGCTTTGTTATCTTTGTGCACTTTTAAAAAAATGAGCGAACGAAACTCTTTTTCTCTTCTGTCGCACGGTGCATTTTCTACTCCGGACTCGAATAAGGTTGAATTACGAAACACTCGGGAACGCTGAATCAGACTCACCATTGGTGAGGTCACCCTTCATGTGGATGTGGAAACCGTGGAAACCGGGCGACAGTCCGGAAATGTCGCCGATTATCGTCACCAAGTCTTCCGGGTCCTGCGAGTGGTTGTCAACGTCGCTTATTACGAACATAGAAAAGTTATCCGGTAAGGGAAGTAATTTTGTCGAGGGTCCTTTCAAGCGACCAGCGTTCAGTCGCCCACGTCCTGCCCGTTTTGATCTGGACGAGCGTCTCGCCGACGTGCAGTCGTGTTTCACTGCCTCGTGATGCACGTTAAAGTCCCCAGGCTACCAGTGGCACTGTAATGGCTAAATGACACCAACAGCGAACACACTAGACGCCAGGCACCCGTTGGGCGGACAAACTTCCCGGTGGCGAATCGTACAGGCAACGCTATTATGAACCAAGAAATATCACTGATGAGCAAAGGCAATTTTGTTGAAAGATCTCCACCCTTCAAAGCCATCGGCAGGAAAATCTTTCAGCAACAAACTGGACAACATTCGTCCAACAAACTTTAGGAAGCCACAATGTTTTTTTTTTTCTTTTTGTTGCCGTCTGTTTTAGGCTGATAACGACTGGTCATCCAATTACTTTGTTGTTGTTGCTTTAGAAGCAACTCTTCTGCAAGCAAGTACCAAAGATCTTAACGACATAACCCGGAACACTAAAGCGGCAGAGGCGTATCGACTTTCCCCACTTGTATCCCCAAATTCAATTTACGAACCATGCTTTGTCGCATTTAGCGGCAGGGGGTGGCTGCCATTTAATTGCCTGAAAAGGTTAAATAAGAAAACATTCCGGGACCGTGTCGGTTTGAATTAAACGCAATCCTTTTATAAATGCTTGAATAAAGCTGAAAAAAAAAATCTGCATCTTTGAGACCGCTGTGTTGCGAGATCAGCGGTCGGGTTCTTGGCGGTGATCCAATTTGAGCAAAAGCTTATACTAATAATGAAAGTTAGGGGAGTTTTTCTTTTTGAGAGATCCGGGGAAGGGGAAAGGGGGGGGGGAGGTTAAAAAAAAAAGAGTATGACTGCTTTAGTTGCGTTTAGTACCTTGAAATCAAGGGCTTTCTCTGATAAATTTACAATCCTTCGCTTCTCAGTTGTAAGGTTTACGGCGATATTTTCGGTCAAGGCGGTCATTACTTTTGTTCATGTTCAAAGTCGCCGTAAACCGCTTTGGAGAACTTTAATAGCGAGAAATGCCGGCTACAAAGGTTGCCAGAAGAGAAATAAGCGTTATTTTATTGCTGTTATGTGTTTCCTTCTGACCAGCTTTTGTTTTGCTACTTGTAATGCTTAGCTTTTCGAGAAAAGTGTTTTTTTTTTTTTTTTTTTTTTTTGCTTTTCGATAAATCTACAGCAGGACGGCACATTAGAACTCGCATTCAACACGTCTGGTTAACGGCAGCCACCAGCGATGAGGGTTAGCCACTGTTCAAACTCGTGTGTCATATTTGCTACTGTCTGCAAGGTAATCTTTTATGTAATTTATGTAATTGTTCATGTTCTGCTATGTGTATACTTGCCGACACACTGCTGTCAATTGTAGCTCAGAGTTTCTTTCGTGGCATTCTGGTGGCGGGGGCCTACACTTACATTCAAGCATCGTGTATACTTCATTCTTCATTCTTGTGCCACTCCTATTATATTCTATGTATTGAAATAATAGCATCGATAAATGAAAAAAAAAATAAAGATCGCTATATTTTTGCAGCAATTCGAAGGTCACAAACTTTCCGTTCAATTTGAGACGAAGTAATAGCGTCTTGTGTAAATGTTTAGACAGCGGGAACCTGGTCAACCCCAATGGGAGTCCGTCGTTTCCGCTCTAGGCGAGAACTTCAGCCAGAGCGGCACCACTGGAGTCCCGGGGTTTTCGCCCTGCACCACGCAGTACACGGACCCACACCGGTACTACGATGCTCGTCCAGATTAAAGCGTCCAAGGTAGGGCATGAGCCCTGTAACACCGCGCGATTTTAGAAAGCGGGGTACTCACGTTTTGCTGAAAGCTGAGCATACCCGTCAGGTTGCCGCCGGCCGGTTGCGTCAGTTTGCAGATAGCGTCCGTGACGTCTTCGTCCTTGAGGTAGCGGTCCTCCGCGAGGTCAAACAAAGACGGCGCGGCGCCGCCCCCGCGCGCCGCAACCGCCAAAAACACGAGCAGCGCGGTCGTCGTCGCCCAGCTAAGTTCCATTGCGTGTGGCTTCCGACGATCGTGGACGATAATGTCGCTTGCTGCGAAGTAGCGGCTACGGGCGCGCTGTCTGCTGGACGATACGCCCCACGGAACGTTCCCGGTTAAAATGATAGGCTCCGTGCTTCCTCCAAGTGGCGGCACGCCGCGGGGTACCGCCAACTGACGTGACGATGCATGTTTGTCCTAGAATGTGCACATTATCGAAGTATACTTCGAAGAGGCGAGCTTACTACGTACCGTTTCACAATACGCTCGACCGAAGCCGATGCTACGGCCCGACGGAGCCAACGAAGCGTTGTTCGAAAGTGCATCGTCACGGCACTCGTCGTCTTTACTCGTTTGCTATTCACGGCTCAACCAATCCTGCTTACGAAAAAAAGTGCAGGATCGCAGCAGATTTACGGCGCTTCATCGGTATAGCTTATAGCCACTCGCACAAAGTCTACGAGTGACATGACGATGCATTTTCGCAGGTGCTGGATCGGCTTCGTCATGACGTAGCTTTGGCTGCGGTCGTATCTGACGTGAAACGGAGTATAGACCTTCCCGGTACTTGTCACCCGGGCGAGAAAAAAATGCCGAGTCACTGAGCCGTGGGCGCGAGCGGAAGCGTCTGGTATACCGCACACCGGAGCTACAGTGCATGCTCGGAAGGCGTTTCACAGCCCAGCAGACAAAAGATGGCACCGCGCAGAAGGCAATTTTCTTTTTTTAACGGTCCACCGAGGCTTATTTTGGAAATTATATCTTCCGTTGTTTTTTTTTCTTATGCAGGATTGTATTCTTACGGGAGCAAACTCAGATTTTGGTTTGTGGTGTGCCAGAGTGAGATATGGCTAGCTGTCAAAAACGTTCAGGGCAAGACAAAAAAATGAAAGCCGTTTACAACTCCCTGTAATGCCGAATTAGAGCTCAGCTCTTGAGGAGGAGGAGGGAAGGGTACTGAGGGTCACGTGTTATCGGGGGAAGGGGTGGTCACGTGACCTGGGGGTGTCACGTGACCACGGGGGTCACCTGACCTCGAGAAATTTTTCCGCTAGATTTGGCGGGGAAATTTTTCTGCTAGATTTAGCGGGGAAATTTTTCCGCTAGATTTAGCGGGGAAATTTACACATAATGCACCGCGCGGTTACGCCGACGGCGACGGCGACGGCGACGCCGACGCCGCTCAAGCCGGAAACGGGCGCCTAAGAGCTGCGCTCTAAAAAAAAGAAAAAAACTGAAGGGGCATGAGAGAGGACGCCTAGACGCTCAAGACGCTGGAGACCCTTCGAAAACATCGCCAGCTGACGAAAGCTTCGGAAGCAATGAAGAAAAAAAAAATAAATGGTACAAAAGAAGGACACTATGACGCTAAAAGACACAGCGTCGCGTGCCACGAGGGCCGAGGCTGAACGTCTGCGTTAGCCGTTAGACGTCATTCTGCGTATGACGGTTTGGGGCCCTAAACTCGCCAAACACAAAGTTTGGACCGAAGTTGATGGAGCGCACCGATTGGCCTATCACGACGATGACTTCGCACTTTTTTCGCCGGCGTCCAATCGGTGCGCTCCGCGAACTCTCTGCTCTAACTTTGTGTTTGACGAGTTTAGGGCCCTTGGTCGATATATCAAAATACCGCTGCAATTTATGTTTTGTTTGTTCCTCGCCAATATGGGAACAAGTGGGAAGTCGTGACGAATCTGATCTGGTACTCAGTTCTTTGATGTCATTAACGCGTGTTCTGCTGACTCATCGGTCACGGGCCAGCAACAAACCCTTATTAAATCATGTTACCCATTGCAGTAGTCGACGAGGGTTAAAATACTCTGCGGGTAAAAGTGTTTCTTTCCAAGATCGTATGCAAACAACATTTCGCTGATGCCACTGTACCCTCGTACGGACAGGCCCTGAAAGGTTCGGCGTGTAATCCGTGAGTCGATTTTGCGAAGTGATGTAGTATGGTGCCTGGATCGCGTCTTCGACTGGTGTGTTTAGCGTCCTATCCCGCCCATAGATCAAAAGTGGTCCCAATGTGGTCACAAATGACGTCACAGAAGCCGGAGTGTCATGTTGTTGCCTGTCGCGATCCTGGCGGTTGGCCGTAGAAATGCTGGCGAAAAGCACGAGCGAACGTGAGTGTCGCTGTCGTCACGGCGCCCCCAGAGCCGTATATAGGGAGAGTTTGGCCAGTGGGTGTGGCGAGGAAGGCGCCGAAGAGGAGAAAAGTAAATGAAAGGGAGGAGAGCGCCGAAGGAGCGAGAGAGAAAGGGAGCAGAGAGGAGACGACCGCCATTTTTTAGCAACGCTGTCGGAGACTGGTCGGAGAAGAGCACTGCTGAGGCTACGCGTCGTCTGCTACGGGCCGACTTCTTTTTCGCCTGAATAAAAGTTTGTGGCCATACGCCGAAAAATCTTCATTTATTAGCTTTTTAACCCACCGAGGAATAACAGAATGTCATTTTCTTGCCAGAGCCAGCGATATAAAAGGCAGTAATCTAGATTTAGATGCCGATCCCTCGCATTCCGCCGGGAGATGGCGGCCCTCCCCACTCAGGTGGGAGTAGCCGGGAGTTCACGCGCATGCGCTCATGCCTCTTGCTCTATGCCGCGTGCTGATTGGCTCACTTGGGAGGAGAGCGTTACGGCGGCGAGATCATAGACTGACCAAACTCTCCCCATATCCGGCTCTCGGCGCCCCCAAGGCGCTCCGGGCGTCCCAACTTCCGGCTGCTCTAGCTTCCGTGAACTGTCACAGTGGAGAGTGACCTGCAGCAGAACAGGCGTCTGCCATTTACACCACAACTGTTGGGACGCCGCCAGGGTCGCGACCAGCGACAGCATGACACTTCTATGACGTCATCAGGCGAAAATAGAGGGACCACTTTTTTGGCCGTGGTAAACACACCAGTCGGAGACGCGTTCTAGGCACCATAGTCGTAGCAACGCACATAGTAGAGCCATGTTTCGTAAACTGTGGTAGAGCTGTTCAGTCTAACACTTTTTCACAGACACAAACGCAGACAACAAGGCATGCGGACTGTGCCCGCATTACAGGCCAGCGTGAAGCGCGGCTAACGATGTAGGTCAGCAAACAAAAGAACAAACAAAGAAACAAGCTGTTCAATTTAACGTGGCGTCAAGTGCCTTGATTTGAAGGAAGCAAACGAAGGGGCCTTTTCCCTATAAAAACGACACCTAGCTGCGTGCGTGCGAGCCTGCCTTGGAGGAACGCCTTTACTGCTTTTGGCGCTCTCTGCTGGCTTGGAGGGCAGACGACGCAAGTTCTGGGCATGCGCGAACGGTCTGTCGCTTGCTTCGATGTGAGCGTCGTCCGGTATTTTGCCTGCCCACATTTCATTTCATTTTTTACTTGAACATACCACCCATTCCTCACGCGGGACCAAGATAGAAGTATGATACAACAGTAAGGTTAACACGGTATGTGTAACAGCCCGACAAGCACAGTCCGCGCTGCCCTTCACCGTAACAAGCACAATGCATAAATCAAACGGGTGCAATTCCCCTCAATATTAACGCAACAAACACAGCTTTTGCCGCTATCAAGCGTTAAGAAATAAGAGATGCGAATTCCTCCCGGCTACGTGAACTTCCAACATTTCCTGGTAATTGGTTCCCATCTCTCGCTGTCTGCCAAGAAAAATTAGTATCTAAAGCATTCCTTATACTAAACCTTCTTTCCTTCCCGTGCCTTTCGTGTTTATTCCTCGTTATTCGCGACATTTCTTCCCTTATATATCGATGATTGTTAACAAAGACCAGGTTGCTAATATTACTGTAGGAAGAATATTTACCCTTTTCTGTTTTATGCGGAGTTGGAATCCTACCACCACTACATCCGAGCCTCCGCCGCTAGGTGGCAGACAAGTCTGCGCATGGGCAGGACACTCTTCGGGAAATATGTATTGGGTGCGAGCACTGATCTCTATGACAATTGCTGGATCGCTTTTGCCCCCTCCGCGAACGCGGCCACTGGCGGCCATCTTTTTGGAAGAGTTATATTATCTCTAGCCAATGTAAGGTGCTGCAGCCACTATCATCCATCCAGGGCAGACAGCGTTCTGGTAGTTGTGGTGGCAGGCTGCCATCGAAATAGCGTGGGTGATATTTCGTGCTTGATTGAAATTGTTTGACAAAACATATTTTTGAAACCCGACGTGAACGGTAGCCCGATCTTTGAGGACCCGGTGAAAGTTTCACGAAATCGCAGCACCGGGGAAAAGCAGCACAGCACGCATCGAAAGTCGCATCGAAAGAAACATTGAAAGCAGACGGCGGTAAGGAGTCTGCTTTCGATGCGAGCTGCGCTGCTTTCCCCCGGTGCTGCGCTTTCGTAGAACTTTCGCCGGGTCCTCAAAGATGAGGCTACCGTTCACGCCGGGTTTCAAGAATCTGCTTCGTCGAACAACTTGAATCAAGCACGAAATATCACCCACGGTACAGTGTACTAGATCCACGGTTATTTTGTGGCAGCCTGCCGCCATTGCGCTGTCCGCCATGTTACTATAATGGCTCGAGATAATATAACTCTACCAAAAAGATGGCCGACTGTGGCCGCATTCCCGTCCATAGGCGGAGCTGGCCAAACGCGATCCAGCAAATAGACATAGAGATCAGTGGGTGCGAGCGCTGGATCATCATGCAATTCCCAACTGTTGCTTAATCGATTAGACAATACCGATAACTGCTCGTCAAAGAAGGAAATTAAATCAAATATTAGGTGTTTAGAGAACCTGAGTTTAATCATTTTTAAAAGAACCGGAGGGACAAAGAAGTGGAAAGTTTAATTTATTTTTTGAAGGGGAATGGCAACATTGTTAGACCCTACAGATGAGAGATCTAGCCAGTGCAGTAAGGCAGATGTAGCAGGACTGACGTGCTTATTTGAAACTGTAGCAGACGAAGCATTCTCTCTCTGCGTGGCGAGGATAATCTCGCAAACGGCAACACGCGTACAGTCTCCAGCACTATGAAAGACCCAGTCAACGGTGCATTTT